AGAAAAGCGGTAGAAAAGGGAGGGAGGGGCCGGGGAACCGCAGCACAGTTGATTGACGCAGCCGCTGGTATGAATCGGCAAGGCTGGCGTTCGCACCTATACCGGCAGCACAAGTGATTTGCCTTTGAGAACTAAAAGAGACGGCATGGTTAAATAATTAGACGCGGAAGGCTACAAGAAGTGGGATTTTGTGACGAGACAAGCCACCTTCGTCTCACAGAAATCCCTACGTGAGAACAACGCGTCCGAAGAAGGCCTACAGGCACAACTAGAACGCCGAGTTGTCGTTGCATGGAATCTTTTCGACTAAAATGATCATCTTGTAATGAGTGCTGAAGGACCATTGCAGGTCATAATTTGACGTTAGTAACATAATCGCAAGACTACTCAACAAGGCGTAGAGGTAATCTATGCTCCAACTGGCGCCAGTTGTCCCTAGGCACTAAATAGGCTTTAATTGGAATAATGCGACAGCAACCGTTGTGTAAATGCGTGAAATGAAGCCCCATTTCCTTAATACAGAGGATGAATAATAGGAAAGCACATATTATGACATTTTAACATCTTTCCACTGAGCTCATGGTAGAAAGAGAAATAGCAAAAACGGGTACAATGGAAATTTCGACATTCAAGGAAGTTCGCAGACATTAGAGAAGGTGGAAATCTAAAAAAAACTGTGACTTAAATAATTTTGTGCGGGTTACCAAAATGGGTGGGACATTGAACTGACATGGAGAGTACCCAATTGCGATTGTTATACCTGAATTGCTAACTTGTTCACGTGAGAGCATCACAAAATAGACTACACGTCTTCGTAGGCAAGTAAGGTTGGTGTTGGCGCATCACGATCATTCATTTCGAAGTGACGTCTGGCATAAATCTTGACGATACTCAATTAACGTGCTTGATGCATTAATCTCACTTCAATCTATTTCACCGTTATATGACGGTCGGGTTTAATTAAGATTTTGATACAGTCGAATCGAATCCCACATGAGTGTTCGGATATGCATTAAACATCACCCGTTTGACAGTTCTTCCCTGCTTTTGATCACTCCATGCTAAAATAAACTCTAAACTAACACGTGCCAATGAAATAACGTGAAACACGCTCCTAAAATACGCTAAATTGATTTCTATCTGATTAAAACGGGGATGGCCACAACACTGACAAAAGACTCCCCTGCCAACCAATCAGATGCCGGATTTTCGCATTTTGGTCGACAACAACGCCCGCATCCAGATTTCGTCCGACACATTCGAAGCGATGCGTGCGTCTTGGTTAGACATGAGATTCAACGGGCCACATGACAACTAAACTGTGACGCTAGAACCGGGAGTGTGCCAATTGAGGCATCTGACAACACCTACCCCGTGTGACGTATAGGTAGAAGAAATCCACATAAAGGACCGTCTGAATGCTTCCAGCGACGATGGCAATCAATTCGTAGGAGTCCTCGTTTACATATCGGTAGATCCAGTTGACTATGTATAGCGCCCTGTAGGAACCAAGAGCGAACAGGTAGTGCGCCGTGATCGTCTCAGCCTCGCCTGTCTTTGTGATCATGTGAAGCTGCGGCAGGATTGCCACTGCCTCGAGGTATATCGAAAACGTCCACAGGACCTGAAAATGTGAGGGCTTTGATTTTGAAACAAGCACCACTACAATTCGCAAACGCCTTCTTCAGAATTGAAACAATGAGTAGGGGATTAAATTACACTTGGTTGCACCATGCACCTAGCAAGTGCATTTCACCCGACATGCTGATTTTCTCAACATATTAAGATGACCGTTCGAAATTATCAATTTAGCAGATAACTGGAGCACAAAAAGAATTCAGGATTCTGAGCTTCATTGGCATTGAGAAGGTGATAGCAAAAGTGCGAAAAAGAGGCTCTTTGTATTTGAGCGGCTATGATTTGTAATTTCAAATACGCAACACCGCATGCGAAACAATGATGTTTGTGAGCCGTCTACGGTAGACAAATCCCACACTTGAATTCGACAAAATGTGTTATTTCAACCCACGTAACAAAATATGACGCGGTAGTACTAAACACAAAAGGGTATTTGATTTAGCGGGATTCAGAAAGGTCACGAGAGTCGGGTAAAATAATCCCCTTAAGTAGGTCCTGGAATTGATACGTAAACTATGAAAAAGGTTTTTATCTAGACATGATATTGAAATTTAGTGCCCATGAGCTTTTCACTTCTAAACATCATTTATTTAAACAATTAATCGAGCGTCGGAGCATAGTAGGAATTAAATTCCCACGGAAAAGCCACGTTTAGATGCAAGGGAAATCGCTCATCAATGACAGTCATATCGAGACATGTGGCGTAAAGGCTGTTGTTCACGATGCACGACGTGGTAAAATGAGAACTTCAGAGGGTGTGCTAGGTGCTTAAGCATTTTAAACCGACAATAACTAATTTTATTCCACTAATAGAGGACTACTTATCCTGTTTGTCAAAGAAACTATTTGTTCACACGAGAAATCGATACTCTTTACATCTATCATTATGGAAAATAACCAAACATGTTAGCTGTTTTCTAACAAACCGACAAAGATAAATGGAGGCAAAAATATGACATATTAGGGCAGACTAACCTCGACAGGAGAGAATTGGTGATTGACAAGCAGAGCCAGGATAAAAGACGGAATAATCAGATACAAAATCCGGAAATTGTCGTCTTCTTTATTGTAAGTTGTTTTGAATTTAAAGAACATCAAATAACAGGTCAGGTAGGAGAGAATGACGAAGGCAATCTTCATCAGCATGTTGTATGTCGACACAAAGTAAATGAAGAGGTCGAGGTAGCGCGTCGTAAAGATGAGAGCAAACATCAACTGGGTCTTCCCAGATAAACCTGAGTTAAAATTAAGTAATAATAAAAGGGAAGCAAAAGTATACCAAAAGAATAAGAAGTGCTTACAATGAATAGATTCATAATAGAAAACATTGGAGTTTCATTCACTAAACCTGACAAGTTCTGAAATCGATATATGGGTCAAAAAAGCATTAGGAAACAATAATTTTGAATAAGGTAAAAATACATGCGAACTTAGTTGGGAAGCATGAACCCACGGAAAGAACCATGAGTGTTTCATGATATCAAAGAAGATGGTAAATACGTCAATAAATGCAAAAAATATATAATCGTGTCACTCACTAAAATAGGATATTGGACAAATTACAGAGTTAAGGCATGGGTAATTATTAATAACCTACTTAATAAAACGTAAAAGCCGCATGCTAGACACCAGACTTCGTTCAAACTAAGACTTACGCAAAAAACTGCCAAACCTATCTGACGTCAATTTCATTAGTCTTAAAGTTATAGCGGAGTTTAGCGTCATGGATTTAGAGCACGTTAAGAGGACAAATTGCTTACCTGCACATGAGCGCGTCTTCCATATTTTTAAAAGAAGCAGAATAATGGCTAATAAATGGGACATATCTCCCAAAAGCCTAAAGATATTCATCCTTGGGGAATCAACCGACTTCGAACAGACCGCAGAGGCAACGTATAATACTGTTTGAGAAGAAAAACACCAATGCGACAGTTCCTATAAACCCACTTAAAAACAAAGTCCTTGATTAAAAAAAAATTGAACTAAATTTTACTAAATTCTTTTGCGTTTATACCTTTAAGGACAAAATCTCCAATGGGTCCAAGCAAATTTTTTTAGAAAAAAAAACAATCGGAAGGCAATGCGAATTATTTAACTAACACTACTACTCTATTTATCTCATCAAGGTAAAACATATATTTTTTCCTAACTCATATGACTTGCATGGGGTCGACAACAATCTTAATTCTTACATCTCCAAATTACAAGTAGCGTGATTATAAATTACTGTTGGTTCCATGTTCGCTTAACAGAATTTTTTCAAATAATTGTGACTTCCTTTCTAGCAAATATAAATAAGTGCGATTTAAAAAAAATTATGGAATGCAATATCGTTTATTCATTCTGATTTAATGAGTTAGAATTGCGTAAGAACGTGCACTTCACAAATCAAACTAATCAATATATGGGGTCAAATTTAATCAAACTGCCATAATTTTCATTTTTATTGAAGATTTCGATGTACATCAACTGTGTGTCAATGGAACCCGAAGTACTTTTCTAAAGAATTCTGGTCTAAGTTGCATATCAATTAGTAGAAATTAGTAATAGTTGCATTTAATTGTCATTTGCTTTATTCTCCTTTTTAAAGAACATACGATATTTTGCTAATCGGGTTCTATACCATTTTTTTACTTCCAATTACCCTGACTATTGACACTACTCTAAAGGCCATTTGTAAGTGTTTTGTGTGCCTTGTGATGGAGCCTTGAGTGTTGTGTTGGGTCGCTGCCCTTTTTTGAAATGGATTCTTCATTGCCTGTTTGTGCCAATGGAGTGAATGAGCGGGGCATATCTAAGAAGGATATTCTTATTCAAAGGCATTATTTGTCTTTTTCTAATTTTTTTCTAGAATTAAGCAGCAACAAAATGCTATTAAAATCCTTGAGGAACGTTGCACACACGCATCAACTCGTCGAACTGCACTTCGTATGTCGCAGATTTTGTAATACATTTGTGTAGGTGAGGCGGTCAAGCAGCGTTCCTTTGAATCAGAAAAACTATTGCAAGCCCTCTTTTCTAGAACCAGACGTAACGAAAAGGACCTCAAGTATTTTCTAGTCAGTTTACTCGTATCTTATGTATTTTGATTCTTTATAAATAAGAACGGTTTATGCTGTGTATTTCTTCGTCGGTCCATGTTATTCGAAGTACGCATGATAATCTTAAATAAACTGCGCTTACGACTGTACTTTCTGAAACGGTAGGGGAATCCTGTACGTATGGTAGCAGCCTAATCTAGAGTTATTAAATTTTGCACTGTAGTCTTGTTGTTATTAATTCGTATCTGAATAATCACTGTTAAGTCTTTGGGATGATTGTTTGCCCATAGGGCTAATGTGTGCCCATGTTTCGAGCAAAGGGCGTTTTAAATGGTGCGCAGTATCTTCATAGTTGATACATCTTTTTGGGAAGCAACGGAACGAAATCTATGCTTATTTGGTATTCATGTCAGCAATCTGACCTGAGCTTAGTCGTTTCGATTTTATTCAGTCGCCGTAAATTTATCACCACGAACCCATAAATGCTCGTATTTTTCAAATTTGTGTACAAACATGTTAGTACCAGTAAGTTTAATTGCCTGAAAAGGGTGTGGCTGTGCCGTTCTCCAACTCCTCGTGGTCGGTTTATCTGCGATACAAAGTTCCTGTGAATTCGTGACCTTAAATTCTTTGAGGGTTTATGCTCAACAATTTCCATTTAAATATGGCCCTCCTGAATGCGCGTTATTCGTTTTTTTCCATTTCATTAGCAAGAAAACTTGTTTTCGAACTCTGGCCTGTCTTAGTGCTAGTAATTAGTTGCCTCACCGTGTCGGTTTAGTCGTGATCAGAGGTTTTTAATTAGTTCGTTGAGCTAAGCAAGCTGAAATGCACGTTTTTTATGCTGGATACTTTAATGTCATTTTTGGATTTAATAATAACGATCCACGGTCGAAGTCTGCGATCCCATATAAGTTTCAGAACATGCGTATACATTTTGATCGCACAGTATTTGTGGAGATCATTCTGCTGTTCAGGTTGTGATCGGTCTGGAGCCGCCCGGAAGTCAGTTCCGTTTTAGTTTAAGAGATTTTACCTCGTCTTTTTTCCAACCTATTGCAAGAACTGACACATTTCATTCTGATTTGTTGCCCTCTTCAGGCCTCAAATACATCAACTCGACGTGATCGTGCACTGCAAGAGCTAGACGACTCTAGTCCCTCCCTCACGGCCACACCGCCACCACCACTGCCTCCCCTTCCACCCACTTTTAATCTCTCCGTGCCCCCTCCGGCTTTGCCCGTTGCTCCTGCGACCGCCTCAACGTCGGGCCGCATTCGTGGTCTTCTTTCCCCGTCCACTGCTTTGAAGCGCGCTTCTACCAACAACAACATAGACCTTTGTTCCTCGGCTTCGGAGAGCTCCCTGTCCCACGTTCGCGTCGATCCCTCCATCGATCTGATCCTCTCCCGGTTCCTTAAAAGCCTCAAATCCTCGGAGGCTCAAATTTCCACCAACCAGGCTGAACTCCAGAGGTTAAAATTCACCGAGGATAGGTAAGCAACAATGCTACGTAATATCTTAATACTTTCAACCGCAACAACGCTGACGTCGCGCCCCAAAAACTAACTTTTTAAGGCCTTTGGGTGAATAAATCTGTTTATTTTGGTATATTTCGGTAGAAATGAAAACAGTTGTGGTATTCAACTGTACCAAGAAATCCCACGTCCCGTTCTCGACTGTAACTCCTTGTTGACACCCATCTGACGTGGAAGGAGCTTGAAGCGTCCTCGTTCCTTTGTCGTGTCTACACACGAACTCCCAGCCCCTAATATGACATTCTCTGTAAACTGCCAGCCCGGTGTCTCGATTTTGTATCTTTTTTTTCAATTGCAAATTGCTCATACTCCACCCAATCTCAAATTTGTAAGGGGATTCTCTTCCACTGGAAACCGTTAGTCAAGCATTTTGGTGTCGTCTTCCCCTTGCTTGACGTGAAAGATCGCCAATCTTGTTAACATTAAATATGCAACATTTCAGAAGGATTCATGTATGACTGGTCTAAATAGTTTCCTCCTCTACGTGTTACATTTACCTCAAGTTCCCCAAAGCCAAATTCCGGTTTAAAGGTCAGCATGTGCAGGTTTGTGTTCAACTTCCCTGCCTTTGTTATCACTATCGTGCATTTTCTTATCAATGCGATTGTCAGAATTACACTACCTCTCATATTTCATCCACGATTTGGCGATTTGCAATTCGAAAGGAAATGCAACTCACCACTGTCGATCCGTCTTGCTGTTGCCTTTTTTTTAATCCAAGTAGTTTTGGCAATATCGAAGCGCGGTCAATTTTACCTCCCACTTTGCGTGGAGTTCTCAAAACAGTCTTACTAGTGCTTAGTGAGTAAGACTTATACTCGAGCCCTTGACGGCAAAGTTGAGTTTTTAGACCCGAAACCACTGATTACCAGAAGGGAAGTATTTTTGCGATCGTAGATCCCTTACCTCCCCCTCGGAGCCTTGTACTGTTCCGTGTTGGCATCATTTCTCCGAAGTAGCAGTCTACCTGTACCCCAAATCAAGGCTCAGGTCTTCAAATCCAGCCGTAGGATGATTAGTTGTAGTGTGCATTCCTTATGCTTAAACTCCGCTCTCCTTATTTTTGCCTCGTCTTTTGCCTTGCAAGTCAAAACGGCAAGCGCCTGATGAGTCGCCTTCGCGTCCTGGAAGCCGAGAACGAGGAGCTCACGAAGCAGAAGGAGAGCGGACGACCGGCCAAGGTCTCCATGCTGATTAACCTGCGGCAGGGCTTCATCAATCGCATGAAGGCCAACCACGCCTGTGAGTCGATTCGCCGTTAGTTTAAGCGACCTTCGTTTATTGGACCATTTCTGTCGAAGTCCTCTACCGAGTCTTAATTGCATGAATCAGCGAACAGTGGGTGTAATTGAGATTTTGGGGGGAAGACCTGAGTGGTAGATTCTCTCTTCTAGACGTGGAGAAGCTAATCGACGAGGCCGAGTCTGAGGTGGAGGTGTTCACGAGCACCCTGCTAATGCTGCAGCAGCAGCTCTCCATCGCGCACACCACCATCGAGGTGCTGGCGGTTGCTCTGGAATCCTCCAGGCCTGGCAACTGTCTGCGCCTGTTTCGTGCTGCCCAGTGGCCCCTGCCCGACTCCCTGGCTCACCTTGCGGATTCCGAGGAAGCTGGCGAGGGCAGCAACCCAGACCAGACCGCCCCGAGTCCGTCGGTGCCTCCGCGGGCGTCGGTGGAACACGACTCCGTTTCTTCTTCTTCTACTCTTCAGTCGGCGGACCCTTCCCAGTCGTTCGAGGAGTCGGCGGTGGCTGAGCTCGAGGCTGAACACCCTGCCCCTGCCCCTCCGAGTCCTCACAGTAAACCCGAGCCTGTTTCTCCACCCACCGACCAACCATCACCACCACCGACACCGCCTCAGCACCCTCCGCAGGAGCAGTCGCCTGTGGTCCTCGCCTCAAATCCACCACAACCGATTCCGTCTGTGTTCCCCCGAGATCCTAGGCTCCAGCGTCACGCACGGATGTAAAGGCAGTTCTTTTGTACTATTAGCCGAAGAAAAAAAACTTTTCCCCACACTCCGCCCCCACAAAAGACGCTCAATGTGCCTCCTCCTCATCCACCACCACCACCACCTCCTCCTCCTCCTCCATGTGTACGTTATATTTGCAATATACTCTCACCTTATTGTGCTAATACTCTGTGAATGTAGATCTCGCGCATCGAGCACTAGGTTGGGTTGTTTTTTATTAACACTTCCATGTTAATACATACATACATGCATTATATCGGCTCTGACCATTGCACACACCCACCCGCCCACCCACCCACACAAACTCATTGTTGATGATGGCGAAAGAACAGCGACTACCAGTAACTGCTGCCTTGTCTACCGCCCTCTTGCTCCGCCCACGACAACTAGATCTCCTGCTATTATTTTAGCTTTATTTCTTTTTCTTACTTACTTATTTTTAGTCGCGTTTTACTTGAGCCTATTTTTATACACTAGATTCGTTTCTCTTTACTTTTTTTTTGCTTGACAATCGCATTTAACGAAGTTGTGTTACTGTATTTTCCTCGTAACCCTTCCACACAAAAAAATAAGTCGAAATTTTCAGAGTACAATGCATTTCTCCCTCTAATCTGGCCTGTGGTATCTGCCAAGTAAGTTTGAATTACTGGGAACGGCTGCCTTGTTCCCGGATCGTCTTTGTCGCAGACGTGTCCCTCCTCGTTTTGGAGAAACCGTCCCATCTGTTGGGGGTCAGTGATTGGGTCACTCAGGTCGATTCCCCCTTGAAAAGCCTTCTCTAAAAGTTAAAACATGTTTTCTTGTTCACACTGGGAGATCACCTGTCGCTGTGTGCGACTAGCGGTCTCCACAACTACCGTAATTGGTTTTGTCTTGGTTTTTGTAAATAAACTTCAAGCCTCAACAACTAAACCGTGGACAACAGGTGTAGAATTTCGTTATCGAAGCACAAATTTGGCCATTTCGGAGACGCTGGCGGACATATCTTTCAAGGGGTGCATTGGCCTGTAACGGTTCATCTATGTGGTTGACATCAGCCAATCCGGTTTTGGCTGAATGGCAACCGAGCGCGGATTGGCTGGAGTTTCAAGTTGCGACTTGAGTAAGTGGCATGCATCTGCGCATATTCAAACCGTCTGCACTTCTTCGTCCACGGTGGACAGGCCACCTGCACCTCTTGTTCCCCGCTGTCGTGTCAATCATAAATGTATGACACCTTTGCCCCTAGATGAAGTCCCATTTCACTACCCTCTGTGACTTCGAATGGCCGCAATCAGGAATTAGTTTGAGGTGCAGACGAAGCAAACGCATGGCTTTTTATTGGCCAAATTTCTGAACACTTTGCGGTCACTATTGTAAATATTATTGCCCATTCAGAGGTAAAAGATCAACTGCGAACTCGGGATTTTAGCAGGTATAGGTTATTTTACATGTTGTCTGTCTTGAAAATTTGTGTCAGCTATCTTGTGAAACATTCCAAACTGATTGGCGGGGCGCTTTTTTGTTTCGTAGACTAGTTATACGAGTGTTCAACTCACCCGTCGAAGAACTAGGAAACCAAAGTCGCTTTGACGTCTATTCTCTGCCGCAAAAATACCTTGCTGCCTAACGTGTTTACCAAACCTTATTGTGAATTGGCAGAGCGAGAAAAATTTATCATTTCACTTTTTTTATCAGGTGAGTATCGCTTAAAAAATGCACAAGAGGTTGATTTCTTTACTCTGTGTTTATCACACCATAGATGCTCAACCCGATGCTGCGTTCGACTGAGGCGTTTTCGTGCGATCCAATTTCTCATCACAAATCATCTGGGTTGTGCAGAGCTTAACTACCAAGCCGGAAATAGCTCCACCATCATTTTTGCTCAGAAATTCTTGGATCTCATGATAATTGCGGGAAAACAGGGCGTCTGAAGTCTGGCGTTCGGGACAGCACCTCCGTGAATGATGGCAGCTTATACACCAACAGGCGCACTTACCGGAATCTAAGGCCTACGAAGACAATTCGGAACGTTAAACGTCTTATTCAGTTGTCCTAAACAATCAGTAAACAACAAATGTATTCAACAACAAACGGGGACACGTGCTGCTAGTGGATGATTTGAATTGTGTTCCGATGAAATCAGTATATTAAAACAAAGGATACATTAAGACCAACACGTAAACGTCGCAACCTCGATGCATGGCAGGCACCAAATTGTTCAATTTTTCTAATACTTGCTGGGGGCAAACACTTGCATCCACCTTCTGGAGTACAATTTACGCAGATTTTACCTGCCACCATGGCTTCTAAAGTAAGTTTTGGCCAATGTTGATATCATACCGTTATCCAATCCAAATCCACAAATGCATCTTGGGTGGTTTGCTAAGCTCTTTCTTCAGCAGGTGACGGACGATTTTGCGCAGCACAAGTTTTCTCGGTAATCTAAGCCCCATTTGTTGGATTCGAGGTGGACTCTAACCACTCACTACCGCTTATCGTAGAAATCACAAAAACGAACGACGCGCGCATCTAAATAGTTCGCATAAATGTGAAATCCAATAGGCAAATTCCCACCACAATGCTCCATTATTGTCCATTAACAGTACACTACTGTTGGGCAGTCATAGGTGCCGTGGCGTACTTACATGAAATATTACGGTAGTTTATTCGATTGGTTGCTGTGCTGAGCTCTAGTCTTACAAGGTACAACGACTCCCTGAATACCTCTGTTTTGGCTGGTTAGCATAAAATCCACGGTCATCGGTTTATCGATTGAAGGAACCGCCATTTCATGCCGAAGATAATGTCTGCCTCTGGCATCAAAAGCTGTGTGTCTTCAAACGCAAAACACAGTTGACAGATATGGCGTTCATTTTACTTAACTATTCACCTCATGTCAAACCTAATAGTCCATTCTGACAAGATCGAAGGTTAAAACAATTTCTTGTAGAAATTTGATTGGTTGCTTGTGGACGGGTTGCAGCTTTGAATTGTCAAATTGTAACGCGCCTACTACCGAGCGGGGACCTCAATAGGGGGACGACTGTTAGCCCGTCCCTCTTAGATGGCCACACCATCATGGTTAGCTACCAGGCACACGATAGAAGAATAGCTCGAAGAACCGGATGTATTCCATACTACCGCATACAAACTCAGAGGGCTAGAGCTTAGGGAGAGTTGGAGTGTGGAAAGGGATGGCCGCGAGGTGGGTCGGCGCTGCTCACGGACGTGCCTTAAGGAAGGCGGGAGTGCGGGAGGGGAGAGGAGGGCAAAGAACAGGCCAGACCGGCGTGCGTGGGTCGAATGGCGCGCGTCACAAACTGAACTACTTGTTTTTTGTGATTATAAACAGTAGGGTAGCGGACGCAGATTTTGTGTCATCTGTAGGCTTAGGGTTAATTAGTGTCTGGAATCTGCCTCTAATTTCAAAACACTGCAATGCAATTGTTTAATCAACTTCCTGGTTCCAAACTTGGTAGAAATTCGCTAAAAGGCATTCAAAGAAACCGCTTATTAACTATCCCTGCCACCGCTAACTGGGTTCGTTCACTTGGTTGCCGAATTCCATAGATCATTGCTGCAAAATTCACCCACACTATCAGTCAAATTTTGCAGCACTCTTTTACACAAACCCGGGAAATTTTTGGTTCCAGTTATGTTTAACTCTGGTGCTAATACTTCTTAGTTGATATTGTTATTACTACAATTTCAACATCTAAGGCCCTTGTTGCTTTTTCTGCATTTACGGTTGTAATTCATATTTTCACTCAATGTTTTGTTTAAATTCCCTAACTACGTCAAACTCCTCTTTCCATTTTCCGTTCCTTTTTTCAAATAAATCGTTTTTTACATGTAATTTCGATCCAGGACGTCAGCTAACCCGTAGACAGTATGTCTAATTCTGCACAAATATATTGCAAAACGGTGTTTCTGTGGGTAGACGCATTTTTTGCAAGTCATTGCGTCTGTTGATCCCTCTGCCGCACACTTTTACTCATGATTGATCATCTCAGCCCATGATTGGATATTGGCATCGATCCGTTCTGAAATTTAATCGCCTGCCGTGCGTGGTGTATGGCGACTATTTCATCCACTTTGGAAGTATTTACGCCAAAATAATTACCAGTGATGGGTCACTCTAATTGAAGGTGGAAGAGGCTATCATTTTTGCAGGTTCGATGTAGGATAGGTTAGAAGCAAGCAGTCTTTAACTTTTCCGAACAAGTTAACCAATTAAAAGTGCCTGGTGTTTGGATAAGTCTTCTTCAAAGAAAACTGACCTGAGGATTTTCATAAACTTGCACAATAAATTGCCTTCCGGTTTTGTAAGCATCTTGAAAAGCACCTCGTGATTTGTACTCGCTTCAATCATTTGAAGTAATGCGCTGCTATCTGCTATGCATTTTGTGTTTGAAATGCATTTATCCACTCGATTTTGACGAAATTTAGGTTGATGTCGCATTCCACGGCCACCACACATGGATGCGAAATCGGTCTTTAAACCGCATAACAAGTTGACCTATCCGTGAGGCGAAAAACGTTTATCTTTTCGTAAATGTGCATTGTCATAGTTTTTCTTAACCTGGTTTAGAAATGCGAACATGGCCCTCTAAATTGATTGATAATTTTTTTGCATTCTTAGAACCATGATGTTGTCACGAAATTTCAAATCTTACTGCTGTTGAAATTTACACTAGTTGGAATGTACGATATTATCACAACTGCAGTGGGATTTAAATTACCCGGGGCAATTTGATTGGTCCTCTGCGCCGTAAAAATTGACGATACTGACATTGCTATCTACTTAATTTAAATGTTTTTAAAAGGTTCATTTTTGCTAAAAGATTGGCGGAAATCTTCTCCCAACTTGGTATAACATATTTTGATTTCAGTGGCTGTCTGGCTTGTTCCATCGGTGGATCAAGGAATTTGTGATCCAAAATTTGTGTCTCCTGATGCCATAAATCGATTTCCATTGGCATATGCACGAAATTTCGAGTAGCACTTCATATTAAAAACGTTGGCTGCAACTATACCTTCAGCACAGTTCCTTAAAGTAGGGGTTTACAGGTCAATATATTTTTATAAAATTGATTTGAACCAGGAATTAGGCATTTGGCCCCCTTAACAACTTGTATCTATCTACTTATAAAAGATCTGCAGTCAACATTTGATTTGTAGATAATTAACTGTTAACATTGATGAAATCAATATTGGTTAAACCGAAGTTGACCTTACAGGTGCATTTGTTTTAATTAACAGAGAAAGAACCCGGGAAATATGGTGGAATATCTCCTGATTTTTCTTTAAAATAGCATCCATCGTGAAAAGTTGGGCAAAAGGGTTAGAAGAAATAGGCCGTCACGTTGTAAGCCAGATCCAAGATGTATAATGCAGTGCTAACTCCGATAAACACCTGCAAAAAATCAATAAAATTCGATTTTTCCGATCATTTACTTCTCCTGTTATCGCAAAAGTTGAAAGCACTTTACTGACTGGAATACCACGAAATCTGCCATCTTTTATTGAATTTGTAGTATTACCTGATCGAGAGCATTCAAGCTATTTTAAACGTCCTCAAATTACCAAGATACAATAGGAACTTGGAAACCGCCTGGTCAACTAGTCGTAGTTTAATTCAAACAAAAAAAGTTTGACTGCTGTGCGAATAATGGGACACATGGCTAGGAGTTTTCGCGTATTTCATTCAAATTGAGCACACATAGAAAAGTGAAGGATATATTTTTTATGATCGCATAACCTACCGCCATTGAGATATCTAGTTTCCGCATTCCATACAGTGATTGGTTCGATGCCAGCACAGTTGCGATGAAGCCAATGGCCGCCACGATGGACAGATGGACGCAAACCTACGGAAATTGGCAAATGCTTGCATAAATGTCTCCAATGCAAACTCACAAGGCATGTTCACAATCAAAATTTACTTATTTCCTAACAGTAATTTCGAACTTAGCTTTTTATCAAATGATTGGTGGAATTTCGAATTTCCACCTAAACGCGGTTGGTTTGAAATTGAATATGACACTGTTATCAAAAATCTACAACATCGATGGAGTCCAGCAATGTTTTTAAATTGCAGTAGTCTGATTTTCTTAAAATAGTCACGCATATTCTAGGACCGTCAAATGTAACTCTACGAACAGCGATTTTCGTGAATGGTCAATTCAAAATATCGACAAGTTAATGATTGGCTGCTTCAATATCACTCTCAGCACTCTCAAACATTTTAAAACACATCATCATAATCATTATTTCCGCGTTTTTAAAACAAGGACTAGTTAACGACCTGAATACCTGACTACTAAGACCAGAAAAAGCCATTCACATCATAATTTTTTTAAAAAAAATACCAGTTTATGCTATTTCGATTCAGTTTGCCGCATAAAATCAGCATGAGTGTCGATTTTTTCGTATAATTGTCTACTTGGAGTCATGACAGAGGGATTGATGTTGATTGACATTGTCTATGGGCATACAGGGATGTCTGATAATTTAGGACCGTATATTGGCCTAGCAACTTTAGCTCATGAAGGGGTACGACAAATCCTAAGTATATTACACAGTTTGTAGCAACTTAAATCAGCAGAAGTGGCTGGCGAAGAATGACTAGGAGACCGTTTTCCTTTGCGACTTTGTCTATTGTGTCAACAATATTTCAGAAATCTATTATTTAAATAATCTAAAGCGGCAGGTTATTTGGTATCTTAAATAGTGTCTTGATTACAGTTGACTACCAACCGCTGTGATTAATTATTCCTGCTCAGTGATCAATTATGTTCTCCATTTTTGCTCAACGAGTCTTTACGAAGTCTAACCTAGGAACATGTTGTAGTGACTTGTATGACTTCTCGTCCAATGACGCAGTTGTCTCATTCCTCGCCATTCTGACCTCATTTCCACTCTGCCCTCGCTAAACCGTCTGCGCATTCACCCCTCTGCATGTACCACACTCCCACGCTGTCCGTTTCATCCACCTGACCGTTCGGTCACTCAGGCAACCCCAATTAGCAAGACACGTTATCATGCGCAGCTGCGAGACTAACACAACTCGGGTCTTCCGCTTGTCTTTGCGGGTATCATTTTATCCGGAAAAAAAGCTTAGATTGAATGGCACTTGGAAATTAGCAGAAGTATACCGCCGGCGTTGGGTTCAGTGCGCACGATGTAGGCCTGCATTACACTCTGAGAAGCTTATGGATATGTTACTAAAAAATCGATTTCTTAACATTAATCCCGTATGGCTAGCTTTATATCCGCGCTACAGCCATTTCCTAAGAAATTCAATGGCTGATGGGTCACTGCGAAGAGGCATGAGTGGTTGCATCTCTAAGAAGTATAAACGTACATAGATCCTGTAGTTAATATTCATGTGATGCGAGGCGTAGCAGAGTTTAGTGAAGAAAATGACTCCAGCCGACACCCAGCCAAAGAGCGACGCAAACACGATGAAGGCAAAGTACGGACCGCCCTGGTACGGTGCCACAGCCAGGATCATGCCAATCAAGTCGAAGAGGAAGATGAGCATTTCGCAAACGCCCGGCAAGGACGTAAAGTACCCGATGTCGGACGTCATGATGATCTTCGTGACCCTATCCTTCCTGGCATACTGCTTGAAGTCGAATTTGTCAAATTCGCCTGCTCTAGCAAAATCGCCATCATCTTGGGGATGTTCCTCTTCGTCAATCCGACTATTGAGAGGTGGCTTTTCTTGTATGTCAGCTTCGGTGTCATCCGCATTTGCCAAATCGCCTTCACTTTTACGCGGCTCTCCTTCGTCAGTCCTACTCCCCTGAGGTGCCGTTGCCCGTAAGCCAGCCTCGATGTCGCCTGCTTCAGCAGAATCACCCACATCTCTCTGCTGCTTTCCTTCACTAATCTGACTACTCCGAGGTGTCTTCTTCCGTAAGCCAGCACCGCCAAAATCACCCACATCCGGTTGCTGCTGCTCCTCATTTCCTTGCCTCTCCATTATTTCCAACTAAGTGCTCACGCATGTATGCGCATCTAAGTATGCACATCTAATTACCCGCCCGAGTCATGGTTTTTGGCAATTAATCTAATAACGGTTTCCGCAGACCCCACAGGATAAGATGTGCATGGGTTAACAAAACTACTGGCGGTAATGTGGGATGCCTAAGGGAAAACATGTGACAAAATTGTCGGATTTTCAGAGGGGAACTGTCGGGGGTCGTTACTGTCGTCCTGGCGAAAGTCTTCTCCTTTAATGGGCTAGTGATTCCAAGGCCAGAGGACGCCATTTACCAACGCTGTTTCCGATGATTTCCACTGAAGGCACAGTGACTTGTTAACCGTCAGAGATTGGGTCGATTTTGACTCCATGACAGTCGACTGAAAATCGGGTCTTGAATCTAAATTATCAGCGGGATCAGAAGGCCTAGAGACCGTCAAGTACAACATATCCAACGATTCTCAAAACGCAAAATTTGCAGACGCTACAGCACTCAGAGATTCTGATACCTGTCAACCTGCATTGACTGCTACACCCGGCACGAATATATGGCTGCTCGATACCTCATATTTCAGCATAAAATCTCATCGATCGGCGGGCTTCCCCATCTGGGGTCACTTTCACCACTACCATGACAGGTCGGCGGATTTACAATGTCAGTGAGGATTTACGGTAGGCGTACCAATCAATTAACTTGTTGCAGAATTACCTACTTGACTTATGAGCCACCACAGTTTTCTTCTGTTCCTCCTACTCTACTCATTGACTTAAGTCCAATTCTGTTGAGATGGAATCATATTCAGATAGCTATTAAACGTAATACTTCAAGCCCCGACTTCGGTATTTTGAAACCGGTTGTTCCAAGGTGTTTTTGAAACGAAACACTTGGAAAAAGAGTAGTTTATTTTGGGAGACGAAAGCATTCTTCATTGTTGAGTGATAATGGTTTAGGTGTAGTTAGAACACACATGCGTGTTCATCTCTCACTCACGGACCAAACATTTTTGAATTGACAGCTCTCTCCCTACTTGTCGGTCAGTAAAAAACAAATTCCCATTGTTTTAATATCAACATTTTGGGCACGTTTTTGCTTACGTTTTGTCTCTTATTGTAATATTTACAACTTTGACCATTTTCAACGCATGTCTTGTTGGACGAATAAGCACTTTTTCAATCGTGGCTGGTTTTGCTTTGACTAGAAATCTTCTAATTGGACGCTATGCAAGTGCGGAATTAGTGGAACGCAGGAGACTGTAATGTCTCACATGACAGTTGTAGTATCCCGTCGCATTGACTGGGTCGCCTTCACTTGAAAATGACAACGTAAGTCTGAGAGTGATAGTCAGAGAATGCGGGACAAGGCTGGTAGGTTCCTGGTGTTATCGACTCTTCCTAAGCCACAGCATTACTTCGGTGAGAAGTTTGAATAGTCTCAGATAAACCACGCCAAATATGCCTAGTAAATTTCAAATGCCTGATGAGGATCTGTGGACATCTTTACTTAGCGAAACCCTTGACAAAATCACAACGCAAGCACTTCATTGTCTACCAAAAGCTCTAATCTAACACGGAGTAATTGGGGATGACCGCGGCGGCGTTGGATCTTTATTTAGTCATTGCCTAATGAGGTAGCAAAACTACTAAATAATCAGTTTTGGAACGAAAAGGAAGGAGTATGTCGACCGGTTCTACTTTTCCAAGTCCACTGACGGTGTTAATTTGAAATAAACCGGACAGAAGCAAGCGTGATCCGCAAACCTCGAAGACAACAGAATGAAATGTACCGTGAATCCAAATTACAACACAAATAGCAAAATGATATCAATAGAACCCATGATTTTATAAGTCACCAATCTGCCAAAAGTATTTTGAAAATCGTTTGAAGGTGTTTTTAAGTAAAAGCCATCGTCGAATTTTTTTGCATACGCACTAAGGTTCGGGTGATGAATTAGTGCCTAGAGTTATCACGCAACTCATGCTACAAAACTTACACCACGATTACCCAGTATTTGCCATGTCTGATAGAAATAAAAATTAGCGTTTTACTGAATGAAGTCTTCTGAGGGTAGACAATAACATCCCTAGCTACGACCGACAATCTGATTGTCGCCATGTATAGGCTTTTGGGTTAAATTCAAGGCAGGGAGTTGCGTGTCACCTTAATAAAATTTGGAGACCTCACAAACACACTCGTGGCTAGCAGAAGCCAAGCTCACGTGCGGCGCCTTTCCACGATCACCTACCACTAATAAGTCCGGATTTAGCATTATTTGGGCGAGACGTGAGTTTTTCTTAACTGCAAATACCTTTCCTTGGCACAACACTATCGCAACTAACACAACGAACGACACGAAGGCCAAACACAGGACAAATGGTTCATCGGCAACAGAGCCAACAATTGGGCGCTCTTTTGAAGTTCAAATAAGTGGAATGGAGAACTGAAGCTAACAGATATGTATTTTGTACAGTCCGGTTCTCAGGATTGAAGATCGGAATGGTGAGATACGAATGAAAGCCAACCAAGGCGTATCACTAGGCAGGCAAAATTCAAGCATTCTGATTCTCATTTGAACGGGTAGAACAAACCTGAAACTGGATCATTCCTGACAATACCACAGAAAAGAGAGATCGAGAAAAGGAAGCCTGGTAAAGCGAAATTCCGTTATTTGGTATACAGGGACTAACTATTACAGGGTCAGTAAGTAGCCTAAATCAGGCTCATTTGAGGGCATCTTGCAACTTGAAACCTGGCGGAACTGGAGGCGATCGCAAGGAGGTGAAACCGCCTTTCGGCTCGCAAGCGCACCGGTGACCCTGGCCGGATCTATAATATCACAGGGGTAAAAATTGGTGAAGAATACAACATACAACGCTACATTAAAAGCTTGAAAAAAGCCTGTGTCAAGTAAACGGCATATCGTAGTTGGGAGTTAATCCTTCTGAGGATAAGAAAAGTAGGACCACTTCTAGCCGATCGAACTGAAAGAAAACATTTAAGCTAGTTGCTGAGCTTGGTGTGGTGAAATAGTTTTGCATCAAATGGTGTTCTGGTGACGTGGTCATTTTTAGATAACATTGACTTACTGAGGACCATGTTTGGGCTTTTTACCAGCCTTGAGGTCATTGAGGATTCTGACGACATCGTCCGGAGTCAAGTCCTCCTACAAATAGAAAAATGACGGTTAAATCAGCCCAAGCGAAGGCTAACATAAACAGCGTCCTAAGGCCATGAAGAAAGCTATGAAAAGCAAAAGGTAGGGTGTGAAATTTGCCCAGCCCGTGCTTGATGGGAAAACCAGAAATTGATGTAAATTTTAACAAATTTACAACACAACTCGGTGGAATATACGGCTCCAATTGTATAGGGCATGATTAAAATTCGTAAATCCTGAGACCAAATCAACGGGAAAACCACTTACGTAATAATCATCGTTTATTTGCATCATTGGTGCGTTCACACAGGCACCAAGACATTCGACTTCGCTGAGAGTGAAAAGGTTGTCCTGAGTCGTTTCGCCCACTTTTATACCCAAAGTTTTTTGGATTGTTTCAAGGATTACATCAGAGCCCACTCCACCTAGCATGCAAGGTGTGGTAGTGCAGAGTTGAAGGTGATATTTGCCCATTGGGCTCCTGTAAAAAGTTAATAAGGCGTCTAATAATAGAAGAATATCTTTAAAAGGGTTTGGATGTCGAAATACTCACCGGTTGTACATCGTATAGAATGTGGCCACCTCGAAAACACGCATCTCGGGAACACCGAGGTACTCGGCAACCTTAGCCATTGCGGATATTGGCAACCATCCATGTTGTCGTTGCGCAATATCAAGCGCTGGCATAATGCAAGCCGCATGAAAACCACCAGGATAGTGTGATTTCAGTTCTTCTAGTCGTTTAAGATTTTCAGCTGTGAATTCAAACGGCACATCCCTGTTGTTTTTTACTGTATCACGATGCTAAAACATATTACCATGACGTATATATTTAGGTTTTACCCAAAAGAGCGCAGTGCTAAAACGCCTAAACCCCTTTGGGACGAAGCTTGACAGTAAAGAACTCTTCGACGCCACCAACATTTTGCACCGAGAAACCGGCTGACTTTAGAAGAAATAGGCCAATCAGAAAGCAGAAAAATGTTCTTCAGAACTAATTTTACTGAATTCGTAATTAGGACACGAATATATTACTCCAAAGTAAAAAAATATAATACTGGATATTAAAAAATCAGTGCCTATGTCCATAATACCCATCAGTTTTCCGATCATTGGTACCCCTCATATAGCCTTGACATTATGTGTGATCGTTTGTGAAATTTTCGCCTGTCAATATTGAGTGACTTCGCCGGTTTTAAATTATACAAGTAAATAATTCTTAGGCACAAGAGCTTGCTGTTTGTTGAATACCAATTTGAAAAAGCTGCGTACAAATGTATATTATGAATCAAATAAGGAACTAACGTATATCTAGTCTGTGGTCTTGGAGGCTCCTATTTTGGCGTTCGGTATAGGGCAGATAATATTTTTTGAGACATGGTATTAATAAAACCCAATCTATGCAGCCATTCATTTAATGAGGCTTTTCAAAATTATCTACAAATTTTTGCCTTAAATAGCATATTGAATACAAAATATTTAGTTCGAGTCATATATTAAACTAAATGATTGCAGTCGTCAGTTAAAACGCTGTATTGATTGAATAGGAAACAAGCTTTTTTCGTCTTTAAGTTCATTTTAATCCATATGGGCAAAATGATATCCCGAAGATATCTGAAGGGCATTAATATGCCGATTAAAACGTTAAGATTTTTTGCATTTCATGATCTTGGTTATAAGTAAACAATCACTGGTAAAACATCAGATAGAGGTTATTCAGACACTATAAGCCTGTAAAGAGTCAACAGCAGGAAATAATAATCATAAGTCCCTGAATGTCACTTTTGAGCACCAATAGTTGTAGTTATTGAATGGCATAATGGTTTTATTGAAATAATAGAGAACAGAGCAGCAAACTACGACTTGACTTGCATACACAATAGAATTCTTCGACTACAAGCTGAGAGTTAAATAATTAGGAACGGATTTTTCAGATTTGGTGGAATGACCCCGAGTTTACCAAAACGTAAATAAAACATTAAATTAGGCTTCAAATATTGACTACAAAGCAGAAAGTTTAATCAAATCATGCTCGACATTGCCTACGCTTATCTTTTAAAATTGCTGAGAAAAGGGTTAACAGTTTATTAGCACAGATCTGTTTTAACGAAAAGTGCAAGTTCCTAAAAGATCAAAGAACCATGATTTTTTTGCTATGGAAACAAAGTCTAAATTAAATGTTTTTTAGCACTTTCGACCCATCAAGCCTAAGTATGCTGGAGATAGCTAACACATAACTACATTAACAAATTGAATTAAGTATGTCAAAAAATTTAAGCAATGGTTAGATTATAAATGCCTTTGATTTGGAATTGAGGTCAAAGCTGATTAACTTCATAACTGGTGATTACCAACATTTCAAGTCACGACATTGAATATCAATAATGTTCTTTCTTAAAATTATTTCTGATAATGTTACATTTGTTCACTAATTTATTCCTCAATTAATGCCTTTTGGATTTGGATTACAAGGACTGCTTTGTTACAGAATCTCATCGTTTCATCTAGTGCGTGTTCGTTAAACTGTATGAGGTCTTTGAAGTATAAAAGTTAAAGCACAGCAAATAAGAAAAAAATTATTGACTTGCTTTTATTGGCCTAATTAAATTTACTGCATTTTGACATGTGTTTTAGTTCGGTATTTTTCGCATGTGACTTTCAATATTTTGTGGTTGATTCTGAAGAATGGGGAAAGACAAGCGTGTAGTGTACTTTTATGATTCTGATACCGGAAATTTTCATTACGGACCTAACCACCCGATGAAACCTCATCGTCTTACACTTGCGCATACCCTTGTTCTGGGTTATGGACTGACTTCAAAGATGCAGGTGCGAAAAAATTCGACAAGTCACATTTTTCTCTAGATCTATAAAGCACCGAAGGCTAGCATGAAGGATATGATGACATTTCATACTGCAGAGTACATGGAGTTCCTGCGGGATGTCAAACCTGCCAACGTGAACGAGTTTCCCAAAGATAAACTTCTAGGGTACAATGTTGGTGAGGACTGGTAAGCGCATCAAACGATACATTTGTCTTTCAAGCCCAATTTTCGACGGAATATATCAGTTTTGCTCACTATATACAGGGGCTTCCCTTATGGGTGCACGATATCTTAACGGTGGCGTAAGTTTTCTACCTATTTTTTTTATCATCTTATCAGTTTACGGACATTGCTATAAATTGGGCTGGAGGTTTCCATCATGCGAAGAAATTCGAGGTAAGGCCTAAATAAACTTACGGTTGACTTTTCGCTAGGCTTCTGGGTTTTGTTATGTAAATGACATTGTTATAGCAATACTTCAGCTGTTGAAGTGAGTTTTGTACCCAAAATTACGCTTTCAAAAGGTACAATCCCCGCGTTCTTTACATTGATATCGATGTTCACCATGGGGATGGTGTTCAGGAAGCTTTCTACTTGACGGATCGTGTTATGACAGTTTCCTTCCATCGATTTGGAAATCTATTCTTTCCTGGAACAGGTTAGTCATTTCCCGTTCTATTTGACTGTTTCAAAGTAACGTGAAGTTTTATTGCCTCAGTAGATTCAGATGGCTAGACGTCGATGGCTAATTAGCATTCCTGTTTGACCCTTAATATTTGAAGCAGTTGGCCTAGATGTAAATTTCTATGACAGTGACTGCCAAAAAGCGCGAAATCGACTAAAGTACAGCCATTTTGTTACTTCACGATTATCAGCTAGTTCCTCATTGATGTAATCGGTACTACGAGGAGCCCTACTGATAGATTTTCTGTTTATCGTTTACCCTCAAGGTGATATGTTTGAAGTGGGTGCTGAGACAGGAAGATACTACTCTGTAAATGTTCCACTGAAAGAAGGCATCGACGATGACATGTACTTCTCCGTCTTCAAGTCTGTCATAACAGACATCGTGCAGTTTTACCGCCCCACGGCTATTGTTCTACAATGCGGAGCGGACTCCCTCGGATGTGACCGGCTGGGTGTCTTCAATCTCTCAATTCGCGGCCACGGACGATGTGTCCGTATGGTGAAGGAACTGGGCATCCCCATGCTTGTGCTCGGTGGTGGGGGCTACACTGTACGCAATGTTGCCCGCTGTTGGGCTTACGAGACCGCGGTGCTGCTCGACCAGGAGGATGTGATCTCCAACGAACTCCCCTACTCCGAGTACATCGAATACTTCGCCCCTGACTACACACTTCATCCCGATTTGAACACAAAACTCGACAATGCCAATACAAAGCAAGTAAGTGCTTATGGTATGTTGCACGGGGACCAATGGAGAAGAGTTGAGTCATCTAACCGTCGTGGAGTATGTGAGATGTGGACGGTAATCGTGTCTCGTCATAATCGAGAAATGGTTTATTCAACCGGAGCTAGTCAGGTGGAATTGGGATGTGTTCAAGCTCATGGTGAAGTCTAACACATCGCAGTACCCACTCATAGAAAATGATTGTTGTTGGTATCTGGGCCACAAGAGTTGTATGAAGGGGCATTTGCATGAATACTTGTGCATTCACTGAAGGATTTAGTAAATAGACAAGCAACTTACTGTAATGCCAACACTCCCTAGCCTCATCTGATCACGACATTCCCCTTTGTTTTAGTACATGGAGGCTCTGAAGACAACTATTCACGATAATCTAAAGCAACTCGTGCATGCCCCCAGTGTCCAGTTCACCGATATTGGGGATGACTTCCTCCAAGCGTTTGAAGCCGAAGAGGACAGTGAGGAGGAAGAAGAGTAGGTCTTTTTTCTCAGCACTTTCAATGGACTTAACAGACTGCAGATGACCACGCTTTGTCTGATTGAGCGATTATCCTACCAAGAGCAAACGGTGTCCTGTAATTATGCACCTGGCAAACTCATAAACATTGACTTAGGCGCTGAATCATGATGGGAAGAGCTCAAAATGGACTTGGAGAGTTTGTTCCCACATGGTTACGTTATCAGAGTAGCGGTAGAGGCTATATCTTGGCTTCTGGAAGTTTATCAATTATTTACTATGCAAAATTTTTTTAAAAAAAGCACTGCTGAACGCACAGACATCTTATTCAATGCGATTTGAATACTTTTTAAAAGGCCATATATCCTCGTTTCTTTTTTTTAGAGAAGAACGAAAGGCTGAACGCAAGGACTTGTAACAATCGCGATCTCTACTATCATTGTACAAAATTTACTTTGTAAATCGACGCGGGCGTCTGCTGTGACCCCCACTTTTTCTTAAGAATAATAAAAATACTTGTCATTTTGAGTGATTTTTGTACGCAACGAGCGCCACACACCGGGGTGACGTTGACGGGTCGAACAAACGCACCAGCGTCGCGAAGGCCACGTCATCCGCCTCCTCCACCTTCCACACACGGTCGGCGAGGATGAGGGCCTCTAGCAGGGGCTGCACAAGTTGTTGGAGCATGATGATTCCCGGCAGAAGGTGCCACGTGTTTTGCGCTGTCGTGACGAGATTTGCCAGCGCTGTCACCTCCAGGGCGGGCTCGAGGCTGTGCAGGGCGCGCCAGTGGTCGTCCAGGCTTGGGAGTGGTTGGACGACGCACTCGGCCTGGCTGCTGCTTGGGGGCTTTGTGACGACGGGAGGAAGGCGGGCGACGCGTTTCAAAGGCGGGGGCAGCGGCGAGTGGCCGTCCGGGTTGAGGTAGACTTCGAGGATGGAGCGCACGAAGACACGCACCCTGTGTTCGTAGACCTCCTCCGGTGTCCATCTAGCCCATTGCTGTGGCGACCACTGGCAAGCCAGTCGGAGAGTCACCTTCGCTTGGAGGGGATCCACCGCTTCGGGGTTGCGCGTGAAAGCTTCCTGCAAGCTCGAACTGAGAGGAAACTAAGGCGAAACGACATGGCGGGTTAAGGACGGCTGACAGGATTCATCCGTTGTCGGTAATTTTGATTCTAGCAAATCGAATTGGACGAGCGGTGTTCTTGACGGAGGCTACCTTAATTTGACTACCACTGTCGACGCAAGTCAAGACGCCAATCCCATTAACCCGTGTTTCTACTCGCCCCACCTGGCTACAATACCCCCATTGCTTTTGCAGGCACGTCTTAACATCTGTCCATCTGGTGTGTGTGTGTGTGTGGAAATAACGTAGCCAGAACTCCTAAACTGACGGTTTAAGAACCACACGAAAACTTCTACAGGCCGTGACGTGGTTGCGTACGATTTCCACAACGGAGACAGTCAACTTAGAGTCTCGTCCCTGAACAGTCGCAGGTTAGTTTTTGGTGTCTACACCCCACTTCCTCGCTTCTTTCGAACCGTCCCAAAGACCTAATGCGGCTAAATCTCCAATCAGAACAAACGCTTCGTGATCTGCGAGTTGAGTGAGAAACCACGCGCCATAGCTGAGTGGCTAAACGCCAAATTCGGCTTTTGCGCCCCACAAAGAACGTCAGTCTTCGTGGCTGTCAGACAGACAGAGGAAGACAAGAAAGACACAAGTTAGGGAGCGCCACCTTCATTTTCAGCAGACAAATATTCTAGCCACACGAGCAGGCAAATTGGTGAAAGGAGTCCTCACCGTATTGTCTTCCATTTTGTGGTAACAGCATCCAACGAGTGCGATTCCACGCGCGTTCGGGTCGGTGAGGAAGGCCTCGATAACAGCCTCGCTCAGGTCGCCACAGCAATGCAGCCCACAAAGCAGGTAGCGGGGCGTCTCCAGGGCGGACAATGCCATGGACAGTCTTGGGGCAAGGAAAATACCAACAACGATAGTTTCGGTTATCCAAAAAAACAACAAGGCTGACCCACCTTTCCCGTAAGTCGTGCACCTCGCTCGTCGTTACGCGCGCGTGCACGCGAATCAGTCGGCTGTGGCAATTCGGCTCTCTTTCCTCCATGTCCACGGCGCTGTTGTGTAGCTTAGCGTCGGCTTCCACGGCAACCACACGCCGTCTGGGCGTGGCATCACCTGCCCGGAGCCTCTGCATTACAAGTCGTGGTAGGTGGCCAAGTCCGGAGCCCACATCGACTAGTGCGTTAAATTCTATCCCGGTGGACACTGTACCCTGCGACTCACACGAGCATGCCTCTAGAAAACCACAAGAACTTTGGTTAAATGAGTGTGCACTAACCTTCGAACTCGGCGGTTTGGAATGTGACACGCGTTCGATCGCGGCACTGTGTGGTTGGTGCCGGTGAAAAGCCCACCGAGTCGTCGAGGAGGTCGCAGAGGAAGGCCGACATGATCCCGATCTCGTGCTTCTTCTTCCACTTCACCTTCCTCTGCGCCTGCCCAGTGCCACCCTGTGGCTTGCAGTGGTAGTGAAGGCAGTCGGCTGGGTGGTTTGAGCACAGGAAACCCCGGGACTTGGAATCATGCCGTAATGCAGTGGGTGGATGGGCAGTGGCCAATCGCATCAGCTCACGCGTGAAGGTCGCACACTGATTGGCAAAGCGCCGCAGAGAATCGGGCCAATCGTCGGGAGCGTCGCCGCCAACAACAACGTTCTGGGAAAAAATGTTGAAGGCGATTTTGAATGAGAAGCTACACCGGTTGCTCCTGCTGTGCACAGAACGTGTGGGGTCAGTAGAAAAGTACAAATGTGGATGGAGATGCACAGTTATCCGACTGGAGGGAGGCACGAGCAGAAAAGCATCAAAGGCGAAGGTGCTTCTGAGTACCAGATGAGTTCTGCTCGCCACATTTGTGAAAATGCACATACTACTCATTAGCTCAAAAATCTGCAAGTGATAGACAGAAGGCAGAACATTTCTGATTACTAAAGGCGTGTGGTATTTGAGTTTTTTCATGAATGTCGGAGCCGATTAATAGATCAGATTGCACCGACTTCCACTTAAGCATCTGTTTGATGGGAACGGAATTCGAGCAAATGACTCAACTGGCAAGCCACAGGAATAAAATAAGGGGCAAATCGAAGAGACGAAACCGCTAATGTGGCACTAAAATACGGATGCTGACAATAATAACGAACTTTACATATGATTTGACAAAAGCTCCTCCGCTATTCGGTTTACTACTCGATTTTTAGTAGAGAAGACAGAGGTGGGAGCCGCTGGTGCCGTTTCTTAACTTTATTTGGAGTAAATCTACACGAGTCAATCGCATGGTTGACATCTGGCATGCCAACGAAATAATACTGCTGCCGCATGAAACCTCCAAGATCTTAATTCTTTGCGTGGCCATTGTGACGAGCCGGGACATGCGCTACCAGATCTACCAGGTTGGAAAGAGATGCATCCGTCGACGGGTAGCACGATTTGATTATAAACTTTCATTTTCAAATCTGTTGTCTCGGTAACTCCGAAGTAATTAACGGAAGATCTGCTTCTTAATTCCCCTCAGAGGCATTTGCATTTGATAAGCTTCATTAGCACACCTACTAATACCGAGTGTCGATTAGTGATCCACACAAATTAGAGGCGCGTTTAGGTAAAAAAGGCATCTAGTTGGTGGGTACTGGAAGAATGTCTTTGCTAGCTGAAACGCACTATGCAAATTACCTGAAAATGGGAAATCTTTCCATTGGTCAGGGCAGCGATCCAATCCGGAGGGCAGGAAACGACCGGGTCCGACGATTTCCCATGGCATGTGAGCAGTTCGGTCCACTTGAAGGAGTATACCCAGGAGTATGTGGACAGGAAGACCAAGACGTGATCCAATAACTCCTCTCGAGACTGGTGATCGCATAAGGAAGAAGTAAATTAATCTTTAATAAAGACATGGATAAGTTTTTTTATTGAGCCGTCACAACGGGCCGTTAGTTCAGTGCTGAAAGAATTAAGTACATAGATTTACCTGGTCTCATTTAGCTTCATTTAACGATAATTTATAGGAAAAAAGGAGGCCACACGTAGGACGACAGGGTGTGTTTACAAATGAAGAAATTGACGAATCCATACGCTTGTTTTATCAAATTACAAACAGTGAGTGGTCTATATGAATGTTCCCGACTTATATGAACATACAGAAGAAAGAAAGAGAAAATTCAACCAAAGACAGTTAAAATGATGGCTTAGGTGGTAGGAAGCGCAGTTCACCTGTTGAGATCCTAACGAAATTTTTTTTGCAGTTTTACCATGCCAGTATCTTCGCGGTAAACCTACGAATATCTACTTGATTTGACAACCGATAACCAAACAATCCACAAACGTTTTAAATAATTACAAAAAATGACTAACTTTGTTAGCCACGTAAACCTCATGCTTATCAGCTTAATAAAGCTGATTTATCTGCATATGTCAAGTCGCTTTTCACTTTCTTGCTATTAAGAACTAATGAGGGAAATTGCGTATCAGCTACATAGGGCAACACATTTATTTTGCATAACTTATTTCAAAATAGAGTGGCCTGTGAGAATGAGCAGCATCACTATAACCGACCTCAATTAAACCTTAAATGATTTATGTTCTACAACTACTTGTCATTAGCATTTAACCACAAACACTTCCAACAATACTCAAAACAATAATTATGTAATTTCTAGCACAGACGGCATTAACTGAATTAGATTGCACAAAGCTGGTTTCGAAGTGGTCGTCAAAGAAAGTAAGTCATTCATTCGAGCGACATCCCAAACTCAAGACATTAGTACGAACGGCACTAAAAAACAATGCGAATGAAGAAGCACAGGTTCTGGTTGCACTTTTAACAAAGTTCGCCAGAGTAATCAAAAGCGTTATTATTTTGGCAGTTAATATTATATTGAAAACAAAAAGCACCAATTAGTACATCCGAGAACTACTCAAAATTGACTTTGACCGAATCACCGGTGTTTACATAACAACGAGAGCGGTCGACAAAAGGATGAGTTAGGTAACGACGTAACAGGAAGGCAAAAAATCCGAGGGAGAAGCCAATGACGGCGCCCATAACGCAGGGGATGGGCCAGGCCTGCCACGGTCGATCCCAGTCAAGGACGAGAACGAACGCAGATGACCAGGTCCCAACTAGGGTCCCCCAAAAGCTGCAGCAAGCGAAGTATTCGTGCGGGGTGCTTAAGAAAGAGTAAACTCAAAATAGACGGAGCACAACAGATATTAGCAAATTTGTAGGCCACAGATAAATGCTTTTTAACTTACGAGGCATCCCACAAAACACGACGAATATTCTTAGTCGTTGGCTCGTACTGCCATAAAAAAGGCGCTCCTGACAAAAAAGCAAACCACAAGGAAAGACATAGGGTTTCCAGTACGTTACTAGGGGAAATGTGACAGAAGGTGAAACTTACGAAAAAACTGGAGCACCAAATAATATAAAAGTAATGTGAACTATAAACGAATAACAAAAATAATATACAGAAAATTTTGACAGATTTTCCACCGTAGATCTGATCATTGTTCAAGGAGGCCGATTGGATCTGCTGGCGCAGCCTTATTGAAGGCCAATACCAGGCCTCCGAATTTCGGGTTGCTTATAGTCGAAAGTAAAACAACTTTTAATAAAAAGTCAATTCTACCGGGAATCCTTATTTTGTGGCACGGCTACTAGGCATAATAATTTATTTTATGTCTGCATGCTTTGGTTCGGGACATTGCAAAATACTCGGGCCGCATTGTTTCGGGGAGTTTGCATTGGCTGTTTGTGTTAACTTAATTTTAATCTTACTTACGCATTCATATACACAAAATTTTCGCACTTTCACTACCCGAAATTTTAATTTGTGAAATATTTTGATGAATATCAACCATTATCATAACGTATACTATTTACTTGATACGGTCATAAATGTTTTTAATTCCCTTGTGTCAATGTACCTTGTTACTTCGTAATACCATAATCTGCTTAGATTATAATATTATTTCCACAAAGCTATAGTACTCGGATATGTTCTTGGAACTTAAGTGAGAATAACTGTTCCACTTTGTTAGGAATCAGTCATTGCATAAGTTGAGTTTATGCCCAAACTTTGAGGTAATGAATATGAAATTAGTAAAGGTAGACTAGGGGCAACCTCTTCTGAAAAATCATCTTTTTTCCAAGTTGTATAATAAAAATTATTTTAAAATCATTCGTTGTCCTGGTTTTTAATGTTTACCAAGAGACTAGTTTGTTTTTATTGTCTTTTGGCGACTAAACTTTTACCTCTCCCAAACCTTTAAATTAAATTTGATTCATGGTTTTGTCAAACAGAATAACCATAAACTGTCAACACGGATATTTTGACGTGGCAGATCGCCGACATGTCACATCTGCAAAAAAGGAATTAGTTGGCAAATGATAGCTCTCATTGCCTGAGGACTTGATGAACCTCCATAAGCCCACTGTGTTGATTTGTACAAAAATAACAGAAAAGGCATTAAAGGATATACACTTTTAAAAAAGATTCTTGACGAATGAATACAGGCTGTGAGTTCACCGTTAGCATAACCGAATTCGATTAGTGCCACATCGTGTACATTCATGAAATGGTTCGGTTCAGTAAAAATCACAAGTGACTTATCGATCACCTCACACAAACAGTACGTCTTTATAGCATCTTGCACCATTAAAGCCCCGTTCATATCCGTCTTGTGATCTTAAACAAACCTACGTAAGCAGATTACAGCAACACATCGTGTTAAACCTATGCGAATAAAAGCAAATGTACTTTAACAGTACTTGCCTTCTGAGATGTTGGTAAATATTATAAAAAGTTCAGTCTTTACTAAAAAAAATTGATGTTATTACAACCACTGCATCCTGTATAACTAATTAGAAGCGAAAGTCACATTTGCGTGGCACAGAAAACAAGCACAAGGAAGGGTGATTGTGTGGGAATACAGGCTTTTGACCCGTCTCCATTTACGAATTGCTCAATTGGGTAAGCTAACAACTAGCTACTGTTAGACATATCAATCTAATAATTGTGTCGACAGTGGGTATGACATTCAGGACGCCATGGCCAAAGGAAACTCGTAGGTTTTTTATGATAGCACCAGCTGAACAAGCAGACGCAAGCTGCCATTAAAACTCACTATGAGACCAAATTAGTCAGCACCTTACAAGCCAAAATCCGTTACTATTAATTTTACTTTACAAAGACGTGGGCTTGAGCAGACATATCCTGAAACACACCAACACTAACAACGTCTAAGGTAACAGGTACTATAACAAGTCCATAGTAAACCCCGAAACAGAAGAGATTAACTAGATGTCCATCAGATAGGGCTTGCACTACACTACACTACCAGCTGGGTATTTGAAAGGTTGATCGTCGTAAAGGTTGAGCATGATGCCGAAACGTAAGATCGCCGACGTCGCGAAATCTAGTTGAGAGTCGAGAACCAGGCCGAGAATGAATCGAAGAGCCTTGCCGAGCAAGCGTCGGATGTAGAAATCGTTGAGTCGGTAGATGCGGACTGAATAGAAAAATAGGAGAGTCGAGTGATGAGGTTAGGATGATCGGCAGCTTCCGGCGACTGGGCCTCGTCTGGCGGTGACTGGGGCCAAAGACGATCCGTGATTGAGTTAGGCGAAAGTTAGGAGAGCAAAACCTGGCCGAAAAAAGGCTAGTGTATGGATTGAAAACTGGGCTGAGGGGTGGGATAGAAACAGGACCGAAAGTCGGACAATGTGGAAAAGGGGGGACATGTGAGTGAGGCTTCGACGGCAGGGGTGTTTAACGTGAATCAACCCGATTCGGGTGTGGACCCATTAGGGAAGGAAGGCTGAACACAGACGTGTGTGTTGGT